TGTAAAAAAACAGGAGACTGAGGAGGAAAATAAAGTAGAGACAAAAGTAGGAAAAAAATGAGAGACATGCACCAGCAACACTTAAAAATTGTTTCCCTTATCACCTGATTTCCTTTCAAAACATCACATACATGAGAGAGAGGTTTGGATACTGGTATGAGAGAACACAAATGGGGAAGGATTTTTGGCACAGATGTACCAAAAGTCTTGTTTGGGAAACAGCTTACCAAATAATTTGCTTTTTCAGAGATATTCACAACCATCAGCCCAAGTAGAGAAAAAGACCAGGAACATGTGAGAATCCAACTGAAATAAGCAGGCAGTGAAAAGAAAGAATGAAGAGTAGCATCTTCTGGTCCCTCTTTGACATGACTCTCTGCTCCTGTGTCTCATTCTGGAGCTGAAGGTCTATGGGATCTTTTTAGACTGGGATGCCAGGGAGACCTGAAGGCAGTTTCCCTGGCTGTGTGGACCTACACAAAGAGTCTCTGATACCACACTCATCCTGGTAGTCAAGTGCTCCAGCCTCATTTGTTAGCTTGTGAGGAGCATGGCTATTAACCCAAGCTGTGAAAATCAGGAGATTATTTCTGCTTTTCTGGCTCTCTTCTTGCAGGGCTGGCCCAGGCCAGCTGTGCCCAGCAGGAAGAGCAGCAGTAAGTGAGCTCCACCTAAAGGCTCAGCCTCAGTCCCATCACTCTCCCAGAAACGGAGGAGGGATTCAAAGGGATTTCATCATCAGCCTCACGCTGTGTGCTCCACCTCCAGGGAAAAGCGTGGATTACTCAGCAAAATACAGGAGCAGTCAGTAATGCTCTTTGCCTCCACTGCAGCCAGGTGTGCTGCTGATCTAGCATCATGGTCTATTTATCCCCTTGTATTTTATTATTTTCAAGGTCATTCATGCAGTTATTTCGTCTGACAGCCATGGCATCATTGAGGTTTAAATGCATACAAATACATTGATGAAGATATAAAAGCAGAGCTGTGTTTGTCTCTGTATGTTCTTCTTTTGTATCTCACTGAAAGACTGTAATATAAATAATTTCCCACAAAGCTATGTTTATCCAAGTCTACAGCTTTTCTGATCCTAGAATAGACACAGCCTTACCCTCTGTGTGTGTTTGTGTGTGTGTGCACATACACATATTTGTGTATCTATCATTACAGTTTAAGGGGAAAATATCACAGTCCGTACTGAATTTCCAATACCAGGTCACAAAATAGTTCCAGTATTCTGAAGTACATGGTGTCTGCTGGTGAAGGGCCAGAATTAGCACATATATTTCCCCACTGAGGCTGGTTCCAAATTGGAGACTATAGATAAAGAGTGTTGGACTACCTACTTGTCATTGTTCAAGGTCTTTAAGGCAGCATAAAATATAAACAAAAATGAGCATTAGGAAGCACAGGAATGGGTTCTCCCACTATAGGGACTCTCTTGTGCTTCAAAGGGAATGAAATATGTGAGGCAGTAGTAACTCTAGTCCCTGGAGTGCTAATATTTGAACAAACCTAGCTCATATAAAATTAGAATCATTTTAAATCTGCACAGTCTTGCTGCAGCAGGTCACATTTCCAGTTACTGGGAATGTTTGGACAATGTGGAGATGTGTCTGACATTAGCACTGGGATCTCAGCAGCAAGATTTTTTCCACATGTTAAGAGATGCAGGGTGGGTGAGGAGGACCAAAGCAGGCAAAAGGGATGAAGAAAATGAGCATAACTATATTTTCCTCTGTTAAGGGCAGCTAACTTGAGAGCATCTGATGCTGAGGACCGCCAATACCCTGAGCAGGTTCTTTGCTGGAATGGATCCTTCCCTCCCTGCCTCCCCCATCACCCCCAGGCAGGAGGCTCTGCAGTGCTGGCCAGGCTTTGTTCTCCCTGAAGCTGCTGATTGCTCTCCCTCTGTGTGAATGAAAGTGGAGTTAAGTCAATATTGAGCACCTTTGTAAAATCCCACTCCGAATTCATTTAGCATTTATTCAATTGAGTATTAATTATGGGATTTTTTTGGCTAAAGAAAATCCCTCACTGTCATTTCATCAAAGTGTAGAGTATGGTGTCTTAGTTCCCCCAAGCATCCTTTGCTCTGTTTCATCTTCTGCTGGATTTTTCCCCACAGTTACAGCCTGCAGAAAAGAACTGCATTTTTAAATATTATTCTGGAGATGAGAAATGGCACAATTTCTAAACATCATACATATAGCAATTTTGTTAAAGTGCCAATAATCTCTTATTGGCAATCTCATCCAGCAAGAGGATGATTTAGTAAAGAAAAAGCCCCACAACATTATCTGGAAAACTGGACATTGTCCTCTCAGTTGTTCAATTTAAGAAGCACTTACAGAGAAGTCTGAATTGAAAAGCAGGTTAAGTATCCAGACTGGTGTCAGACTAATAAATTAGGAAGCCATTTCATCTCCAAGTGCCTTTTAGACTCTTTCTCACCATGAGCCATCTCCTGTAGTTTTAACCTGAAGTCTCATTTTCTTTTGCTTCAGTATACTACCTGTATTTTAACATAGGTAGCACTCATATTCTTCATTCAGTACTCAGTTACCTAAAATACTGACAAAAAAGTATTAAAATAGAGATTTATAACTGACTTTGGGGCATTCAGTTTGGAATAATAGCTCCTCCTTTTCATAAATGTTAATATGAAGATTGCCTGACAAAGCCAAAAGGAGAATTTGAAAGTTGGATTCATTGTTTAATATCTAGCTCTAGTTATTTACAAGCATGTTTTGTCTTGTCATTCATAATTTCTGTTATACTTCTTCCATGCCCTTATTCAGCTCAACAGTTCAATTAAATAATGTTGAATTCACCCAAAAATCTACACCTGGCAACAGCCTTTGAGGTCACAAGGCGATGATTTTATTAGAGAAATCGAGCAAAAGTGGAAGGAATGTGGGGGTTGAGAGGGGAAAAAAAGCTTTTGCTGAAAGATGAATATCTTCTGCGAGACCAATCTGAGCAATTATAGCTTCAGCACAGTGTTGGGGAAGTGGGAATAAATATCAGCCAAGCTCTTTTCTCCCTATAAATATTCTCTTTTTTGATAAATTGGCTCAGGCATGGTCTCTGCTCAACCCCCTCCTCTCTTCTTACCAGAGAATCACAATCAGGGCTGTGCTGTTCTGCCACGTCCATCCAACCCGCTTAGGCACTTCCAGCCATGCAGGAGTGCTGCAAATTGCACCCAAATGTCATGTTGCAACCCCCTCATCTTGCACTGGCAAAGGACACCAGTGGCAGCATGACCATGGGGCAGGTGATGCTTGATACAGCAGTTCCCCTCCAAACATTCCCCATTCCTTAAATAGCTGCACAGCACTGCTTGTGCATAGCAGTCTCTATGCCCACACTTAGAGGTCACACATATTTTGCAGTATAGTTATTTGGTTATCAAAGGTATTGTTGATGGTTTGGATAAGGGCTGGAATTTTCTATCTATAATTAACAGTAGGGGGTGGTGCTTTTTTGGATAATGGGATGCTGGAGGTTGAAAGAGAGTGGAAAAGGGACACATGTATGATCTTTCCTATAAAGCAGTCTGGTGATAATGCCCAGCTCACGCCCCCTTTGCTCACCCTTTGATGTTCAGATCATGCATCAGATGTGGAAAGATTGACTGACAGTCCCAAAACAATGCATGGTGTCTAATGAGCTCACTGAGGCTCAGCACTCCTGGTTGTGACATTTCATCCTGAGCCCCTCAGCTTCCAGCAGGTTGATTCACCCTTTTGTTTGCCCACAGCTCTGTGCCATTGGAAACTGGCCATCTCCAAGTCATCTCCAGAAGTCAGAGAATCCTTCCCATGTATCACAACCCTCTCTAACTGGTGTTTGTGGGTGTACCTGTCCCCCATTGCATACTCATCCCATATATATTCACCATGAGGAGGCAGAAGCAAAGGAATTTGGCTTTGCCTGAGCAGCAACAGTAACTCCTTTAGACCACAGGAGGACAGTCCTCCCTGGCAGATCTCTGCAATGTCAGTGTGCATCCTGAAGCTGCTGCATATGGCATTTGCTGCAGACAAACTGGATGGCATTGAGCAGGTGGATAGAACTGTTCTCAGATAGGACTTCCCCTCCTACCGCTGGGCCCTGTCAGACAGTGCTGTGCAGAGGATCCTATCCAGCCTATCCCAGAAAATAACTGTGGGACTGTACACGCTGGTGCTACTGACCCTGAATCCTTACACAACAAAGATGCTCTCAACACCTCCATAACTTCTATCAAAACAATGGCTTAGCTGGGTTTGTGTGAACATCACAGACATTTCTGGCTGACTGGATATGCTGCCATTTAAGAAGATAAGAACTCTAATATGAGATAAGAACAGTTATGTTGTTTCCTTAAAGTCACAAGAGACTATAAGTGACCCTTCCTAAAACCTCATGCTAATGGAGCAGTTATTTTAAGATCCTTTCACCCTGTCAAAGACTGCAATTCATCCAGCCCCTCAAGGCATTTTTTTTCTGCAATGGTCCTGCAGGGGAAAGCAGCTCATGGCCTTACTTTCTTCTTGCAAATTGAAACACAGCCTTCCTGGTTGAGTGGATAATGCTGAGACTTAGCCTTAAACTTCCTATGGACACATCAGTGTGATTCTCCTGTTTTGGGGATTGCCTGTCCTTAAAATGTACTGTCTTAATGGCCTGAGAGCTATAGACAAAACTAAGTCCTAGGTTTGGTCATCATTTTGGTGACACTAGTTCTGTACATAACAGATCTACCCAAGTTACGAAACAACTCCATTTAGTATGTGGCATTTTTATATTTGATTAGGTTTTAGCATTTGAATAATGGCTTTTGTGACAGATGTGATGTGTCACATTTTCAGGCTTTTAGAGGGGCAGAATGAGACTCATGACCTTTCACTTCTCAAGAGTCGCTCAGCCACTGGACTCTGATGACACACGGTGCAAATAATCATTTCAGCTGGCTAGAGCTGGGTACTCCCATCACGGCATTTCATATCCAGTTCACTTTTCAATGGTTTATTTACAATTTCTGCTAAATCACAGTTAAAGTTATCCAGCACTTAGCTGCTAGATCAGTAACAGATGACCCTTGCCAACAGCACAGTTGGTTTTGAAGGCCAGTATGACTAGGAAACTGAGAATAAATGGATAGGTTAAGAGGTTGTATGTGGGAACTGATGCCCATCCTCTGTGTGAACATCACCTTCCAGAGCACAGTGCTGTCAACTGGCTGACCTTCCTCTCTCTTCCCCTGCCGCCCATGGCCTAAAGTAAAAACACCTCTCTGTAGTCAGAGCTGAGCCTGAAAAAGAAGAAACTCTCAAAAATACCCTTTCAGAAAAAAAGAAAGGCTTCTTAAAAACAAGTCCTCATGCTTTTGCCTTTGTCACAGCCCACACTGCGGTACCGGCACCATCCAGCACCCCAGGACATGTGGCACTTCATCTCTCAGATTCAATCCAGCCTGGTTAGTTCTGTCCTCGCTGCAATCATGTGCTGGGAGCATCGGCCTGACCTCGGATTACTTCTTGGGAGTGTTCCCAACAGCAGCACCCAATCCCCTCCCTGCCGTGCCCCGATGTCCTAGGAGTTGCACTCCTCGCAGTGGCAGGAGAGGATGTAGCGGTAGGTGGCAGTGAGCCGCATGCCCCCCGAGCATCGCAGCCTCATGGCCTTCAGCTTGGAGGTCTGGGGCCGGCAGCAGTGGCAGGTGGAGCGGAAGGGCTGCTTGAGGACAGTGCTGAACGACACCATGGGCTCGGAGCGCGACGTCTGGCTGCAGCGCCCCTCGCAGCGAGCCAGCAGCACCATCTGGAAGGAGAAGAGATGGGTTAGGAAACGTGTCCCCATGGCTCTCGGTGTGCAGCTAACACCAGCAGATGGTACCTCCTTCCAGTCTGGCTGGTTTTTCAGCGCTTACTGCATCCCACCACCTTGGCAAGAGCATCCAGCCCCACACAATGTGCTGCCCCTGAGCTGTGTATGGGAGAGCAGAGGAGATACATGGGCAGGAGGAAAAGCAAAGCTCCTCCTGGAGTCCCTGGCAGTGATGCCAATAAGGACTAGAGGACCTGGGCTGACCTCAGGGCTCCAAATGATCACAGCCAGTCTGCTCTCCAGACACTGTGACTGCAACTGCTGCCCCCAGATTTGTGGCATTCAAGCCCTTAAATCATTAGCCAGACTGATACTTCTGTTGGGTATTTTCAAGTGCTTTGAGTGTATATAGTAGTGCTCAGCAGAACTGGTCTTTGGGGACAGTGAAATGTCTCAGATTCTTAGACAGCTGAAAATATAAAGTAGAAATATAAAGAAGGTGCTCAGTTTATTGCTTTAAAGATGTGAGTTGCTAGCTCTTTCCTTTTACAAAGATCACCTTGAATATGTACTTACAAGTATATGTGTATATATATATTTATATCATTGTATCATCTGTATCTGTATAAAATGCCCTGCAAAGCACAAGGCAGTGAAAATGTAACAAATATAATTTAATTGCCAAACATGAGAGCTCCCTAGTGAGATTTTCCAAAAGCAATGCTGTCTCCATGGTCCTTCTCCTCCTGAGTTCACTGTCTGAGCTGTGACCAGAACAAGGAAACCTGCACAACAGGAGGCACTAAAGAAGGAAAACCCATGGCGAGTCACCTATTCCCCTCCCCAACAATCCCCTTGTTGAGCAGAGGAGATGGATAGAGTCTACTAAGTGCTATATAAATCATGGAAAGGATCTTCTAAAGCTCAGGAAATTATGTGCTAGGAACAGCTGTTACCATCTTGATAATAGGTTAAGTGCTGTACAAGTTTGAACAAACTTTTTTACTTTCATGGGAAGGAAATACTAAGTCCATATCAGCTAATTCTGTTTAACCAACATAAACTTCAAAACCAGTTTATTATATCACCCAAAGCAGGCACTAAAACACTCCTATAACCAAGGAAGAACATTAGAGTTTAACCATGCTACACATATCTCATGGGTTTTTTCCAGGCAATCTAAAAGGATAACTACAGATGTGACAGCAAATATTTTACGGTGTTAAACGTGTTTTGAGCTTCTCTCACTAGACATGCTCAACTTGCTGCAAATCTCCAAGCTGTGCAAGCAGGTATGTCAAATGTTTAATTTTCTCTTTAGTCAGAGCCATGAAGAAAGATGAAATAAAAAGAGAGAGAGAATATTCCTGGTATCAAGTAGGAAATGCCAGCACTGTCTGTGTCCATGGGAAAGGCAATGATCATCCATCATACAGTGCTTAAAAATTACTCTTCCAAGAGTACTTGCATGCTAAATGATTTGCTTGGAAATGTATTAATATATGAACAACTACAATTCCAGTCAACACAGATAGATCACAAAGATGTTTTCATGAGCTGATGATCCATGGTTGATACCATCTTGTTTCTTGAATAAATGAAGAGATGGGTTCTTGTTGCTTTCTGACAAATTTGCCATCCTTGATGATTTGTAGCATAAATTTATGGCCTCCTTCCTGTGATACTGCATATTAATAAGCAAATTGACTTTAGCTGTTAGTAGTAATATTGTGGGAAGGAAATTTCTGTGTACTGTTGAGCCACACATGAGTTTTAGACCTATGACCTATGTCAAGGTCTTTAATACTAGTGATTTTAGAGTATAGAGGGAAAGGGGCAAACATTAGAGTACTAGTGCCCCATTTCTGGCAGATAAAGATCCACTTTTTTTCCCCTTAGTAAACAAAACTCACTTCCCAGGCAGGCAACTGCTGAAGGTATCTAACTAGATACCAGTTACACAGGTATTGCAAAGCAAAGGCAGCAGATTGGGACTTTTAAACCAGTTAGTTTCTTTCCCATGAAAGCTCTTGTTAGGTCCCCTACTTTGACCAGCTCACCAGACTGTGTGCACTCTCTGTCACAGGCTGTTCCCAAACGTTTGGCTGGAGATGAGGTTGAAGAGCAACCAAGTGGCATCTGACAACTGCTTGAATGTTGCAAGGAAAACAGAGCTGCTATCTCCTCCAAGGGGGATGTGCAGCAGCCAGAAATTGCTTTTTTGAGCTTCAGAGGACCTCCAGAATCCCTTCCAACCAGTATTTCTATGATACCATGATTTCAACCCACATATGACAGCACATGTTCTCTGTGGTGGAGGTGACTTCGAATGGTTGATGCTTCTGGAGTCTGTAGCTTCTGATGCTCTTACCCTAAGGACATTTTATGGCACACATCTGCTCCTGTATCTGCAGGTACTTTCAGAAATGACAAGAAAAAAACCCAAACCCCCAAGAAACAGGATTAAGGGTTAAAGAAGAATTGTAGCAGTGTAATTATAGGGTAGAATTATCTGGTGTGCCAATATCTGGGTCTCAAAACATTTTGCATGAACAGCTGGCTTCCTAATGCTAAGCCAGTCAATATTTCTTCAGTGTACCACTGCATTTATAATTGCTTAGGAAGTCTTGCCTTTAAACCATGGCTTAGTCTGTGGAGGCTCTAATTTTAATCTCAAATTTTGCTGGCTATTTAGTTTTTCACAAGATTAAGGTCAGTATTCATATAATGTAAAATTACAGTGTTGGTTTTGTGTCATGTTTTTGGATGGCAGTGTAATCTCTTACAAATGGCACAGCACCAAGGGTATCAAGTCAAGCTTGCAGGTTAAAAAAACATTCAAATTTGCCATTTTCATAGCTTTCTAACCTTCTGGGCTAACCTGAAGTCCTCAGCAAAATTTCACCTCCTCCTCATAAATCCAGAACAGCACCAGTGGATTTTGGCAGGTGTGCAAATGAGCTGGAAATAGCATGTACTTTAAAAGCTTTGCTTTGCTATTTAATCAATTGTACCAGCTGCTTATTGCATCGTGTACTGTAGCACAATAGAGATTATCACCTAAATAATTAGCAATGCTGTGATGGCACAGCACAGTGATACAGTGGGGGTATATATAGTAGAAACGTGTGGGTATTTTATAACCTGATCCATGTGCCACTTGGCTCCCCTCATCCCCTGCACATGTGTGTGTCACCTTGCAATGCTGGACCCAGAAGCACAGTGTCCTACAACAAGGAACCACGTGAGTCTTGGATGTATGAGCAGCTAGGGAAGAATAGGTTTTCTTACTTAAAGTCAGTAGTCTCATAGGTGCAAAAAAGAGAAACCTGAATCTGAGGTAATATTTGACTCTGATCCTTTGAGCTGTGTTCTGGAAATTCAGGAGTTGTGAACTGGTTTGTTATTAATGGTGTTTGTAGTCCTCTTTCCTGCAGTCTTCAGCAACAACCTGAGGCCCAAAAGCAGATGGGCTGAGATGTGTGAGAACAGATTTTCACACAGAATTCATGGCTCGGCTGGAAGCATTACTGGAAATCTCCTGAGCTACCTCATGAGTAAATGTCTTCAAACATCTGCTAAATCTTTCTTCATCTGCTCTGTGTCTCTCTGGGCTGGATTCTTTAGTGCAATGCTGTCAGGTGTAGCACACTTCTGGCACGTCTGGATGAAGCACTTGTGACAGACAATGCTGTAATTTAGGAGGCTCTGGTTGCAGCAGTGAGGCAATTCAGGACATCAGTGAAGACCAGTGGGTCTCCATGGCAGAGATCAGGCAGAATTCAATATGGTCAGTAAAGGCAATAGCTCATGAGTTGATACAAACTTTTCCTTGAAGCCAAAGGAAAACACTGATTTTCAGGAACAAGTGGCCTTCTATCCCTCTTTTGTGTCTCTTTTAAATGTTCTGTTACTCTAATGGACTATGTTTCCAAAGGTTTGGAAAACTGAGATCACAAGCAAGAGGGATTTAAATGATTAAATTATATTGGGCAGATGTTTCCACTGTGTTCAGTTTGGGGCCCCTCACTTTAAAAAGGACATTGAGGTGCTGAAGCAAGTCCAGCCAAGGGCAACGAAGCTTATAAAAGATCTAGAGCACATGTCATATGAGGAATGGCAGAGGGACTGGGTTTGTTTAGTCTAGAGAAGAGGCTCAGGGGTGACCTCATCACTCCCTACAACTACCCGAGAGGAGGTTATAGAGAGGTGGGAGATGTCTCTTCTGCCATGGCTACAGTGACAGGACTAGAGGCAAAGGCCATAAGCTGAGACAGGAGAGAGTCAGAGTAGACACCAGAAAAAAAATTTTCACTGTGAGTGTGGTCAGGCATTGGAATAGGTTGCCCAGGCAGGTGGAGGAGTCACCATCCCTGGAAGTGTTTAAGAGGTGTCTGGACCTGGTGCTGGAGGATATGGTTTAGGATTTAGAGGTTACAGTGGAATGACAGGTCAACAGTTGGACTTGATGTTCTTAAAGGTCTCTTTCAACCTGGATGATTCTATGACACCATGAAATGTAACAAAACTACTTCCCATGTGGGTACAATTGGCAGCATCCACAGAGAAGCATGGTATACATAATTCTCTTTTAACCAGGGCAGACAGCAAACCTAACATGTCTTGCAATTTCTGAAGCCTTTTTTAACTTCTGTAATTCCATGCTGCACTAAAAGGAAAAACATACAGAGTGAAAAAGGATGGATCTGTGGAACCAGTGTATCATCCCAAAAAAGGGCAAAGTCTCTGAGATTGTCAGTCCAAGCTTCACGACGGAAACTGGGTGAAAACAAGAGGTACCACAATTCCCAAAGCTACTCCTGCAGAACCTTCCTTGGTTTTGCCTTGTTTATATTTTATGACAATACATATAGGAACAGACATTGCATCTAGTTTTCATTAACAAGTCTAATATTCATCTATGTTTATATGCTAAATCCAGAACAGAAGCCACATGTCTACCAGGATGATTCCGATCCCTGAGACCTTAAAAAAACCCCTTGATTTTAGAGAGTTATCTAGGAAATGTCAAAATTATTTCACTTTGTATGGGAACTGTTTTCATTTTCCACTTCACAAGAAAGTCCATACAACTTGCAATATTGTTAAAAAAACCATCCTTGAAAACATTGTGGAGTTTGGGAAGCCAAAAGATGTGATAATATTTTCAAACATGATTTCCATTAAAGCCTTGATTTAAAAAGAATCACTGACTTTTGGAGCCAGAGTTGCAAACGTTTATGTCAACAGCTTTTTTTTTCTCAAAGCCCAGTTTTGAAATAATATGGTTTTCATTACAATGCATTTGGTGAGCTCATTTCCATCAGTCCCACTCCTAAAGGCCTGATTGCTTTTCTCTGTCATTAGGGATACCAAGAAACCAAGTCATTGATGGGTTTCCTTCCTTCCTTCTTCCTTCCTTCCAATGTTTCCCAGATGGTAAGAAGGTCTAGGCTAGGCTAACCAAAGACCTCTCCTCAATTACAAGTAATGCATGATTTTACTGTTTGGACTCAGAAGAGTAGGGCAAAAATCTCTGGGCTTCCACTGCTGTGGATCAGGCATGGTTGTGCAAAGCTGGGCAGAAAGCACTGCTGGGAGACCAGTGTAGGGCAGCCCAGAGCAGGGATTTCTCCTGTGCCCAGCTGTGAGGTTATCAGCCCCTCTCTGGTGAGCAGGCACAGGACAAGCCTGGCTGAAGGGGCATAGCCAGGGCAGCAGCTGTGCTAGTGCACAGTGGAGCACAGAGCATTGAGCAGGTCTTACTTTCTGTTGACTCTCTCTCTGTGCTTTAGGTTTCATGACTTGCTGCCACCTGTGATATTGCCTCACCCTGCACCGACCACAGGAAGTAGATAACTCATTCTGAACACAAAAGCATCTGGGGGTGTCTCAACAATGTGGATCCTCTCTCCTTGTAAATGCTCCCAGGATCCCTGCTGTTAGGGTTGGCCATCAGGCAACACAGCAGGCAGCCCTCTTATCCTAAACCCCGTGACACACTCTTACCCAATCTCTTATTCCATCACTCTTACCCAGCACAGGGCTGGCAAAAAAGCATTGGCACTGGCAGTTGTTCCCTTTCCTTAATCCAGGGATATGAGTGCATAAGGCAAAGCCACTTCCCATGGGACAGAGGGATGGTCCAGGCATCAGAATGTACAGACTGTATTCACTCAGACAGAACAAATTAGGACAAGACGAAAGGGACCAGCAAGGATTTTCCCATTGTTTCTCCTAATTATTTTTCTCCATGCAGTGAAATAAATGGCTGTAGGCTACATGCACAGAGGCTGCTAAACCATTTTGACACAAACTTTTTCAGGCTTGAAATCCCAAATGAAAGGCAGTCTTGTATTTCCATCTGCTCCTAAGCCCTACAGTAAACACCCAATTGTCATTCTGCATGAAAACAAAGGCCTTGAAACTGAATGGGTGGGGGTGATGGAAATAAGCAATATTCTTCACAATCTTTTTTCATTACCATTTTGCAGCTTGTTTTTTTGCCTTAGTACTTCACCTTGAAAGTTAGAAATTTACATGCTCTAGATTAAAGACTCACTTGAAGGAGGAGGTAACTGGGATCATCTAAACTTCCAAACTAGCCCATTGCCTTGGCAAGACCCCAGTGTGCTCCTTGAATCTTAGTGGTTTATGGGTTACAGTGGTCATTCTAGGTTGACAGTTGGACTTGATGATCTTAAAGGTCTCTTCCAACCTCAATGATTCTATGATTCTATGATTGATTGCATGTTAGCTTTACCATCATGGTGTGTTTCTCCTTTTCAGCAGGTGAAAAGAGACTCAAAAGCCTTTCTCTTCAGTCCCAGTTCTTACATACACACCAGGTGTCTCCACATCTGTGCATCTCTGCAGCTGTTTTTTGGTAGATAGGAATTTACACAGAGAAACTTACCCAAAATTGCTTGTTTCAACATTTCTTCCAATGCAACACCAAGGGGGTAAGGGAAGTCCTTACCTTGGAGCTACACTTGTAGAGGGGGTGGCTGATGGAGTCCACATAGTGATGCCTCATACAGCGACTGGGGTCAGAGTCAATCATGAAGGAACTGTCTGTTTTACTCTCTGCATCTCCCATCATTGCCAGGAGTGAAAGCATGGAAATCGAAGCTGCAAGTACATGATTTCCCATTGTCGAAGAACTTCTCGCTGATAACAGCAGAGGGAGGTAGAGCATTAAAAAAACTCCAAATTCTGGAAGCCAGTTCTTTTCCACGATGATGAAAAGTCTGGTTTAAGTGTCTTAGCTGTCATTCTTCTTCTTGAGTTGGTGTTTGCCGAGATTGTAATCCGTCAAAGAACCTCCTGCACAGCTGGAATAAAAACAACATAAATCACAATCCTGACCAAAAAGATCTCTGGGGAAAAGTACACATAAATAATATTAAAGCACACAGGACCTTTGCTAGCCAAAATATACATCCTGAGTGAGCATTGTTCTCACAGTAGGTAGAGAATATGGCATTAGGAAGGAGATGTCAGGGGCTTGTTACTTTAAGCATTGCCCTATCATTTCACTGGGGAGAACCTTCTGACTTTTAGCATCACGAGGGGTGCAATACCAATCTTTTTCACTTCGTGATGTCCCTGGTGTGTTCAACTCAAAACTGGCAATTAGTAACATGTGAGAGACATCTACAAATTGAAAGGACTGTGTGTCCACTCAAAGTGTCAAAGAGGGGCAAAGCTAGGCTGCCTCCTGCATTGCAGATGGGGCTTTCTGGCCTACACAGCACATGGAAAGTCTGAAGGCAGGTTGGGTTGTGACTCTAGGGGCTGCTTGTCAGTCTGCTGCAGCTGCTGTGCTGCAGGGACAAGGAACATCTCCAGAATGGAGGGATGCTGAAGGTCCAAGTCTAGGCATGAGCAAAGTGGTGCCCCAGGAAACTTGCTGGGCATCAACCTGCACTTCATGAAGTACTAGCTAGGTCTCTGGCTGTCCTGCCCTCCTGACTACCAAACTCACATGCACATGAGTGGATATGCTTTACTTGCTTACCTGTCAGGCAGCACTTGGAAAGTGTCAGTGTCTTCCCCATTCATTAAAGAGCAGCATCTGAAAAATACATTACATTCCATAATATCCAAGTATAGCCTAGCTATCAAATGGGGAAAAAATATATTCAGGTGGAGTCTTGTGGCAATCTACCCAGGCATCTGGATTTCTGGCTGATGTTGGAGGCCAGGAGATTCAGCAGGGAACAGGCACAGGACAATACCTGAAACCCTTCCCAGAGCTCTGTGCCAGCAGGAGAAGGAGAGCTTCTCCCTCAGCTGCTTCTTCACAGCCCTTTGATCCTTCTCACAAAACCCAAAGTCTTGACTGAGTGATTTAATTTCTCATTTACTGCGAACAACTATAGCTTGAAAGAGCTGTGAATATCCATCTAAATACAACCCAGAAGAACAGTCAAAGGCTACTCATAAGTACAATTAAAAGTACAAGGACTTTCTGAAGAGACTTAAGATAAAACAGTTCCCTGCTCAGGAACAAATTCTCCCCCAGAGCCTCTTGTGTATTTAAAGAGCTGATCTGTGCCTTTATTGCCTGATAGAAGCCTTTTTCAAAACTGTTTTCTGGTTTGCTGGCAATACTCTAAACCAACTGATACACATCTCCCAAACAGCCTGAAATGACAAGGCCTCCCCACCAGAGTGCTTGATGATTTGTGTATTGCTTTATAGCTTGCTCAAACACTTCTGTGAGGGAAGTGCATAGCAGTGAGAAACATTTCCAGAGTTCATCCAAGTTGGGAGTTGAGCTTTGTTGGGCTGAAGTGACATGGAAAGTCTCATGTTGGCAAGAAATGTAATTAGGGATGCTCTGTGTATTAGAAACAACCATGCTCTGTGTATTAGATATTTTTGTTGCTGTTATTGTTTCAAACTATTATCCATGTGCCCGAGTAGGAAAGGAAAAATGATGTGACTGTGGATTTAGGTTACAATATATTTTTTCCCAGAGTCTGACCTATGACCTGGTATATTTTCCTCAGCAAATGTGGCATTAAAAATACTGTGTCTTTGCAGTATAAAGAGCTTAAACAACACTAAACACTTGGAATCTCAGATACATTTATGCACAGTCTTATTCATGTCAATAAATATCCCTCCAAACATTATAGCTGGATGAGAGAGAAATCTCTCAGTCATGGGAGCTGGGACAGACTCCCTCCCAGAAGTGAGTTGTGCTACTCCAGTTCATGCAGATGATGCCCAAGGATTAGCTAACAGGAGGAGTGATGCACTTTTTTTTTTTAAATGTTTAACCTTTTACCTACATTCCTATTCTTTTTTTTTTTATAAAGAGGCTGACCAAAACATGCTGCTTGGCAAGGTCTCTCTCCAACATAGTTAATCAGTATTACACACCCAGTAATTCTCTCTCTGTCCAAATAAATTCACTTGATATTAGACACTCTCATCTCATGTGATATTATATCCAGGGATCCCCATTTCCCATCCTCTGTGTCCCACTGTTAATTTTCTGCTTCTATATCTTTCCATGTTTTTGATCAGTATGATTTAATACAGTGAGAGAAATCTGGAGTCCTGGCTCAGTTTTCAAAGGCTTATCTCTTTAGTTTTCTTCAGAAAATAATTGGATGACACAGTCTGCCTCATGAAAACACTGTGAGAAAGCTGGAAAGAAGTAGGAAAAAGTGTGAGAAAAGGAGGATGGCAGTACCTTCTTCAGGGTAAGCACAGCACAGTACAAAAATTATTAACACTCACAATCTTTTAAAATTGCCCTGATACTTCTCTGGCAAAGAAATGTAGCAGGCTTTGCTAACAATACTGTGAAAGAAGAAAAAAATTACTGTTATCACATATTTGTAAAAAAAAAAAGAGAGAAAATGGATGTAAATGTGATCAATCTTCTGTGAGAAAACTGTGTACAGTTGTTGATACTGTCAAAACGAATGTGTTGGTGCATCTTCTGACATACCTATGTGAAGTACACACATACATTTTTCAAATACATATGCTGTGTATAATATGTAAGGGGAAAAAAGCCTTAAAGGGACATTTAAACATATAGAAGTTACTGTGCAGATTTTTATTCTGCAAAAAAAAAGTCTAAATATTTTCACTAAGGTACATCACCATGATGAAGTATGTTGGCATGGCATTTTCCAATTCAAGCTGATATCGTGCAATGGCATTCCACTTTAACTTAGCATTTTTTATTTTATTTTTTTTATGTTAAAGATTGTATTCCTTTTGAAATACTGTCTGAAATTATAAAATCCTAGATAGAATGTGATATAAGGATTGACATGAAGTTTCCAGTCTACACTTCTGTCCAAAGCCAGAAGCAAGTTCACCTGTAATCATGAATCATCATATATGATGACATTTATTTCCATATGGAAAAATACACTTTTTTATTAAAATCCACAATTTTACATAGACTTTTTTTAATTCTATTTCAGATGGTTTTTCCTCAGTTTCTTTTCAGGTAAAAACTGTGGTAGACAGCTCATCTGCCAAGCTAACAAAATGAAAACTAAAATGCTTCCTCTTTACAGCATCCTCTAAAGAAAAAGTGGTAAAGGTAACTTCATATTCTCAGGCTAAAAACTGGCTAATTTGGCCTAGCAGTGGATGAGAATCACTACTTTACACTTTTTCAGAATTCACTGGAATGAGCAGTGCATTCTGTTAGTTATAGGCTTATGGTTCCCTTTCCATACAACTAGTTTTCAGGAATTCATAAAGGCATAACATGCTAAAAGCTGGTACAGTTACAGCTGTTACCTAAAACTGCCACAGCTGTTACCTGAAAACTTCAGGGAAAAATAGAAAACATCCCAGAAAAAAAACATATTAACATACAATTCAAGACTGTATTGCACATGGACATAAGGGCAGAGGGAGGGTTATTTTTCCAATTCTCTGTTCTTATTAACTGCTTTGTGAATGCTGAAATAAAGATTTCTTATCATAGTCTTAGTGGTGAAGGTTAAGGTTTTGTTTTGCTTTAAGGACAGAAGAAAATTCCATCATCTGGAATTATTTAGCCAGTCACTTTGTGAGAACATAAACAGAAATTCCCTTTTTGCTATGTATCTTGGAAAAAATAAAGAGCTGAGCAATTCTCTAAAGGTCTATTGGATCTGCACTGCTTTTCCCCTGGAAGGTAGGAAGGGACCAATGGAAAAGCTCATTTCTGGTGTAGTTCTGCTCGGCTGTTCCCTGCTCATGAGCCCCCCAAATTAGGCATGCACGTATGTTCAGCTTGACCTTCATTTGCTATGTGTTTTCTGTGTTTGAGACTCCTGCTCGATGATGAGGACACAGTTCAAGTCACCCAATGCTTTTTATGTTTTGGAGGCTGCCAAAATCCCATAGAAGCAGCAGTGTGTATATATAACTTAAGCCTGGCCTTGCATGCTGTGCATATTTAGTAAACACAATTACTTGGATCCTACCATGTGCTTCCCTCATTCTGAATTTGTTATGTAAACAGCAGACTTACAAGGCTACTCAGTTTCTCCAAACTCAGGCCCTAAAAAAAAGTGTCACTAACCATCTATGTGTATATATATGTGTGTGTGTAATTCACTGCTGCTGTTCTGACAAAAAAAAAAAAAAGCCACAGAGTTCTTCATGAGACTGAAATGGGTTCCTCAAGAACTTTATCTAATCTGGAAAAATTTAGGCCAGAAAGATGTGGATCTGAGGGCTTTGTGCTCCAAGATCTGGACTGGAGTGGAAACAACTGTTGGGCAAACTACACTGTCAGACTACACCAGGGTTTGTTCCACAGGGTTAAACTCCCCACTGCCATGACAAAGGCAACATGGTCTGTTCCCAGAGATCCTTTGGCATCTACATCCCTCTGATGGTTCCAGCCCACGCAACCACCACACTGTGCCTGGGAACCATTTGGGAAGCAACTCTGTGTTCTGGGACCAAATCGTGTGAGTGACAATATGAACCACTTAAGAGAACAATTTACCTAGCAGAAGAGATAATCCAAGATGAGATGGTGTGCCTGATCCTTTCTGTTGAACCAGCTCAGATGCTTTGTCAGTTCCAATGTATATTTTAGCTCTGTAAATAAATGCAATAATCTTCTCCTCTCGTTATCTTACTGTGACCATTTTTGTTGCAGCAGTGAAGGAGTTGACCTCCTACATATGCTATCAAAATCCTCTGGCTCTGCAGCCACCTGTGAAAACACCTGACTAAGTCACCAAGTGGATGTGGTAGCAACAGGTGAACACAAGGAACTCCAGTTGGTGAAATGCCTCCATGCAGCAATTCTTCCAATCCCAAAACAGGGAAAATACCAAACCAAGTATTTTGAGTGAGATCCTTGCAGGTCTAAATAAGTTTAATGTTCCCCAAGGCCTTGTTGTGCCCAAGAGGGTTTGCTCAGCTGACATCTAGCTGTGCTGAAGCTTGTCCACCTTGACACCAAGGGAAATGTCTTCACCCATCATATAGGAGCTCCATCCACCCATTACACAGCAGGCTGCAGGGCAGAGTGTGCCTGAAAGGAGGTTACAGGAACAACACTCACTCCTGGGCAGAGCTGGTGGCAGCTGGTGGGCAAGAGGAGAGGGGGAAAGGCAGTAGGAAGGAAAACAGTCTCCAAAGAAGGGACTTAAGCCTCTTCATCTGGATTTCCACAGGAGGGAAGGCTGTTTTCTAGTGCTACTGTGGCTGTGCTGTCCTACCATCTGACTGCTGGCAGCTGCAGGACATTGTCCTGCAGCATCCAAGAAGATCAAAGGGACACTAGCTCTGAGCAGTCAGAAATGTCAAACACACAGATATGGTACTTGAGAGAAAGTCCTGCACGTCATGTTCTGCTGTGAGGCTTCCTTAAGTCTTTTAATATTTTAGAATATGAATACCAGTTACTATAAGCAGACTGAAAAAAAATAGGAAGACCATGGCATTTGAAGCTCAAGAAACAACATAGTAATTGCAGCACATATAATGGAAGCACCTGTGGGAGCATCAGCACACATGGGACTGGTTTGCTGGGCCTCAATGGGATGGCTCTAGTAAAGCCCCATAAGTCTTCCTCTCATGGGGACC